AGGCTGAGATCTACGCAGGGGCCATGGCTGCTCAGGAGTTACGCTGGCTCACCTACCTGCTGACCGACCTGGGAGAGGTGCCTCGTTCTCCTCCAGTGCTGTACGTCGACAACAAGGCCATGATTGCCTCGTGTCAGGAGCACAGACTGGAGCACAGAACGAAGCACATCGCTCTGCGCTACTTCCTTGCTCGAGAGTTGCAGCAGCGTGGTCAGCTTCGTCTTGCTTACGTGGCCACTCAAGCCAACACTGCTCATGTCTTCACCAAGGCACTCCAGCCTTGTGATCATCAGCGTTTCTGTACTGTTCTAGGCCTTGTGCCTACTGTGCCTCACTTGCTTACTTCTTGACTCTGCTTGTACTGTGATCCTTATATATGTCTACCTGCATGTTTACACTTGCTAGGTTGTGATCACTGTACTTCTTGTTGTATTATCAAACTGCATGTGAACTGGTCTTGTGACCGCTTGCTTGTGCTCGGAATTTGTGTGGTATCCTTGAGATCCACCCTGAGCTTGCTTTGCTTTTCTGAACTGGTCTTGTGACCCCTTGTTCTCCCCCACTTTGCCTATGGGGGTGTGTCAAACATATGTTATAGCCTGTTTAGGCTGTAGTGGGTTAGACCATAGGGGGTACAGCATTTCTAGGGTTTCCCTATATGTACTCATCTTCTTTCTAGTTCATCCATTCCTCGTATTATTCTCATACTAGGATCCGTGAAAGTCGGTCTCGGACTACCCAGGTCTAGTCCCCGGTTCCAGATTATGCCCCCAGATGGGTTCTGAATTGACGGAAACAGCTGGTGACTGAGTGGGCGGCTATAGTACGACCGAAGATTTCGGAGGAGAACGGCAACTGCAACTGCGGATTTACGGGGTTGATTTCGACCCGACATTTGCGGAGTTTTACGAGACGACTTACAGGTTTACGGCGAGGAGCGCCGACATTTTTCGTGACAGTAATTCGACGTTTAGTTAAACGTGCGCAACATTTACGTGGGTCAACACCGCGGGAACTACACGGAGCATCCCTGCCCACGAACCATCGACGCATTACGACAAAACTCTCGCGTGAATCCATTCCAACTCTGCTACTGACAACTCGCCTTCGACCCGCCCACGACAACTGCATTAATTCTCAACCACGTCAGGAGCTGCCAGCTGCAACTGCTGAAGATATCGGCTGATTCTGGCGACGTGAAGACAAAAAGGTTCAGTTCGAGTATTCGATAATTTTAGTTTCGGTATCCAGGCGACATCTTCTGGTTCGCCCTCGACGAATTTTGGGGCACGTAACACCTGGTTTCGTCATCAATTTCCCACACCGACGCCATTTCACTGGGAATCCGAGCTTTTACGTGCGACTGAACACCTGGTCTTGTTTGTTTTTCATCTCGGCGCAGCTGCAAGACTTTTCTGGTGTGTTTTCTCCTCCAGTGCTGTACGTCGACAACAAGGCAGCCATTGCATTGTGTGAGGAGCACAGACTGGAGCACAGAACAAAGCACATCGCTCTGCGTTACTTCCTGGCTCGAGAGTTGCAGCAGCGTGGTCAGCTTCGTCTGCGTTACGTGGCCACTCGGGCCAACACTGCTGATATATTCACCAAGGCACTTCAGTCTGGTGATCATCAGCGTTTCTGCACCGTGCTAGGGCTTGTGCCCACTTTTCCTCACTTGCTGTAGGCTTTGCTTGTACTGTGATCTATATATATATACCTGCATGCTTGCTTTGCTAGGTAGAGATCACTGTGCTGTTTGTGTTGCATATATACCCCTGCATGTGAACTGGCCTTGTGGCCGCTTGCTTGTGCTCAGAATGCGTGGTGATCTTAAGATCCACCCTGAGCTTTGCTTTGCTTTGTTCTCTTGCTTGACCGGTCTTGTGACCTTTGGTTGTTCTTGCTATCCCCCACTTTGCCTATGGGGGTGTGTCAAACTATGTTTCTATGTTGTAGGCTGTAGTGGGGTAGCCTCGACTGAGTACAACACTTTAGGGTTAGACTTTGCCCTACTTGTACTCATCCTTGCTTCGTAGTCAATCATTCCTGCCTCTTCATTCTGACACCGGCTGCAACGACGCCTGCTCTCGCGACGACACAGCAGCGCCGCCAATGCTTCCAGTGCTTCCACCTGTGACGTCGCATCAAGCGCCGACGCAAGATCCGGCTTCAAGGTCAGATCAAGTGACGCTTAAAGTGGCCGATTGTGCCGAATCGGAAACTGCTGCAACGTCGGATTCCGCAGCATCTCAACGTGCAGCATCAGAAGCTGCAGAGTCGGAGTCTGCAGCTTTAGACTCTCCCGCATCGCAACCTGCAGCATCGGCGGAATCTGCAGCATCGGCGGAATCTGCAGCATCGGCGGAATCTGCTGTATCGGCGGAATCTGCAGCATCGGCGGAATCTGCTGTATCGGCGGAATCTGCTGTATCGGCAGAATCTGCAGCATCGGCGGAATCTGCAGCATCGGCGGAATCTGCTGTATCGGAGGAATCTGCTGTATCGGCGGACTCTTCAGCTTCGGCGCATTCTGCGGCTTCGGCGCATTGTGCAACGTCGGCGCATTGTGCAGCGTCGGAATGTGCAGCGTCGGCGGATTGTGCAGCGCATTCCCGAGCGTCAACGGCGTCAGCAGGTCGCAGCAGGGCAGCACATATTGTACCGCCGACGCGCATCGCGAAACCGAGCAGCAAGGGAGTGAATGTGAGGCGCGTGGAGGGAGCGACTCTGATTCCCAGGCCTAGCTGTGCTGCACCGCACAGGGAGGTGCGGGGAGTGCAACTTGAAGCTGCACGCAAGCGCCCTAGCACAACACCCAAGGTCGTGCTCGCTACCTCAAGGCGCCCATGGCGGCCTTGACTGCTGCAGTGAGAACAAATGAATGGTAAAAAAAAGAGGGGAAAAAAAAAACGACTCCTAAACAACAAAAAAAATGCAGACGGAGAATGAAGGGAATGGTGGGATGGGTAAAGGCGGCGGATGACACAGAAGCACAGCAGTGAAGAGCGAGTGGGGGGTTGTGGGGCGGTTTGGGGATGCGGGGTGGGGACCATGGTGGGACACTACCCTTTTTTGCAGCCTGCTTCACAGCAGGGTGTTTGTGGGAGTGTGGGTTTGCTGACCTTGGTGGATGGAGGGTGGAAGGCAAAAAAAACTGCTGCTCTGCTGATGTGCTCCTGAAGGGATGGCTCAGGACTGATGTGCTCCTGAAGGGATGGCTCAGGAGTGATGTGCTCCTGAAGGGATGGCTCAGGACTGATGTGCTCCTGAAGGGATGGCTCTGGACTGATGTGCTCCTGAAGGGATGGCTCAGGACTGATGTGCTCCTGAAGGGATGGCTCAGGACTGATGTGCTCCTGAAGGGATGGCTCAGGACTGATGTGCTTCTGAAGGGATGGCTCAGGACTGATGTGCTCCTGAAGGGATGGCTCAGGACTGATGTGCTCCAGAAGGGATGGCTCAGGACTGATGTGCTCCTGAAGGGATGGCTCAGGACTGATGTGCTCCTGAAGGGATGGCTCAGGACTGATGTGCTCCTGAAGGGATGGCTCAGGACTGATGTGCTCCTGAAGGGATGGCTCAGGATGTGCTCCTGAAGGGATGGCTCAGGACTGATGTGCTCCTGAAGGGATGGCTCAGGACTGATGTGCTCCTGAAGGGATGGCTCAGGACTGATGTGCTCCTGAAGGGATGGCTCAGGACTGGGGTAGCAAATAGTTATTAGTTCCTCTGAAATTGTGGCTAGTTGTGCAGATCTGTAATGGTAGCATTGGCTATGATGATAGTATTTGAAGTGGCATTGGAGTATGAATGGATGCAGTAACCTTTCACGGCCTACTATAGATACTGCTGGGGTCAGTGAATGCTGTGAGTGTCCATTCTTAGTCGACACACAATGCCTTCTCAAGCAAGTTCCATACACCTCAATTTCTGCTGCAGCGGCAGTGCTTGTGAATTCAGTTGACAGCCCTCGTGACGCACAGCAGAGCATGATGAGTTGAGACGGACCAAGGCAGTGGTTTCACAGGACAGAGCGGTCAGAAGCAACGTCCCTCGCTTGCAGCATATGAGGCAGGCTGCAGCACAAGCATGAAGGTGTGGCAGCAAGATCAGGGTGTGGGCGTGGGCGTGGGCGTGGGCGTGGGGGAGTGACTGACGCCTGGCTGTCATTCCCTGCTGCTGCAGGTGCGTCAAGAGAGAGTGGCAGGGTGCACGGGAGGGAGGCAGGGAGGAAGGGGGGGAGAGTGAGTGAGTGAGTGAGGGAGCAAGGGAGGGAGTGAGTTAGGGAGGAGGGAGGGAGGGAGGGAGGGAGTGAGGGAGGGAGGGGGGAGGGAGGGAGGGGAATGGGCGGAGAGGAATGAGAGGTACGCAGAGTTAGGTTGCGAAGCAGGGTTAGTGCAGCGAGTGGTGGCATTGTGGGGGAGAGCAGTGAGGTGTAGCGGGCAGCGAGGGTGGGGTGGCAGGTGGTGGTGATTGTGGTGCAGTGATTGGCAATGCGGTGCATGGAGGCATACAAGGCGTGTGAATGGGCGTGATGGGCAATGCGTGAGAGTGAAGGGCAGTGCAGCTCCTTGAACCCCCCATCATGCCTCATCCACGCACTCACCTGCCCTCATCCCCACCCACCCCCATGCACAACCCCACCCACTACCACCCACGCACATCCACAGCAGGCAGCAACAAGGGCACGCATTGGGTGGCGGGTGGTAAGCAGGGCGAAGCAAGGAATGGTGGTTGGAGAGGAGCAAGGGGGCGGCAAGGGGGCCGCGCATGTGGAGAGCATGCGGGTGGGATGTGCATGCAGGTGGTTCCTCCCCCAATGGCATGTGCCCCGCATCCTGCATGCACCATGCCACATCAACCATGGCCCCTCTCACTCCACCAAACGCCCACACGTCACGCCCCCACGCCCCCACACTCCACGCTCACTGCCCCATGCACACTCCCCCCAATCCACCCACCTCAAGAGCCAACGCCAGTTGCAGCGCAGAGAGTAGAAGCTGAATACTCCCGCGCCGCCACGCAGTAGCTGCCTCAACTCGCCCTCCCTGCGCGCCCCTGCTGCCACCCCCTGCACCCCTGCTTGCACTCCCTCGCCCGCTCCCACGTGGGCAGCAGCAGGAGCATGCGCGTGCAGGCGAAAGCACAGAGTGGGCGAGAGAAGCAGAGGCATGCATGCAGGCAAGGGCGGCGGGTGTGTGGCGAGGGAGAGGCGGAGGGTGAGAGCGCGTGTGGCGGGTGGAGTTGAGGGAGTGGCGGGCGTTGGAGTGGGTGAGGGAGGTGGCGGCGGTGGGTGGGCAGCAGGGAGGGCGCAGCACAGCAGCACGTGGTTGGGCAAGCCGTCGTCCACGAGTGCCCACGGGCACGCGCCCCAGCTGTGACGCGCGCCAGTGCCACACAGCACACGCGCATGCCATGCCACGCTGTCACGCCCACGGGCCACACGGAGTGCTCACAGGCCGCGCCCACCGCATGTCGCACTGTGCGCCGCAAAGGCACTCTCACCTGGACAGCACTAGCAGCGCATTCGTGTTGCACTTGCCTCATGCCTTGCGCCCTCTCATGCCCTCACCGCACGCACCACTCTCGCACCACTCTCCCCACTCACTCTCCCCACTCACTCTCCCCACTCACTCTGCCCACTCACTCTCCCCACTCGTTATCCCCACTCACTCTCCCCACTCGTTATCCCCACTCACTCTCCCCACTCACTCTCCCCACTCACTCTCCCCACTCACTCTCCCCACTCACTCTCCCCACTCACTCTCCCCACTCACTCTCCCCACTCACTCTCCCCACTCACTCTCCCCACTCACTCTCCCCACTCACGCGTGTTGCACGGGTGAGCGCGATACTGAGTCAAGCGGCAGGGTGGTGGGGTGTGTGTGGGAGAGGCTTACGGGAAAGCGGAGTGGGGCGGTGATGAGTGGTGCGGTGGTGGCGCGGATGGCGAGTGAAGCGCGCTGCCCACACGCGCACCAGCCCTAAACCCAACCGCGCACGCACGCCTGCGAGCTACCACCACGCCCATGCCGCGCGCCTCTGGGTAAGCTTCACTGCCGCGCGGGGGGGTAAGGGTCACTGCCGCGCGGGGGTGGGTGTGGGTGAGTGGCGCGCGGGGGTGGGGGTGGGCGAGCAGCGTGCAGTGAGTGGTGGGCACGGTCGGGTGGCGCGCGAATGGCGCTGCCGCGTGGATCCGCCGCTCGCGCTCGCAATGGGCTCGTCGCCCACCTCGTCCCACGCGCACCTGCCGCTTCACCGCCGCACCCGCGCCCGCACGCGCGCCTGCCGGAAGGGCGGAGGGCGCAGGTGGCGAGGCGAGCAGCAGCGCGGTGAGCATGCGACATGCGTGCCACTGGACCCACGCGCAATCACCAAACCTCGCAACTAAACTCATTCGCTTCCACCCTCATTCCTATCCATACTTGAGCTCTTTCACAGCGCTTCCGACTTGCTTCTATTACTCGCTCCACGCAGTGCGAGGCGGCGTGGAAAGCAGTGAGAGGATGGCGATCCCACCGTCCGTTGCGCACGCGCTCTTCTCCCAACTCTCCCCTTGCCACCTCCACCATCTCCTCTTGCCTCCCATCCCCTTTAGCTCTGCTTCGCTAAAGTATCAATCCACTCTCGCTACCACCAACCCAAACATTCGTATTGCTCATGTACAGTAATATTCAATAATTAAAACAGTGATTTTGTCAGGCTAAACAAACTCAAAGACTTGTTGAGAAAAATAATAACAAAACTAATGCACTTGCTCAATCAAGGCAATATGTTCCTATTGCTGCTCTAGAGACTACAGTAGTAATACTCAATCTGCAATTGTGAGTCTTCAAGGTCTGTTTGTCAGTTTACACATTTGCGGTTCACATGTATACCCTATAGGCTATGTGTAGCTTTGCTATAGAGAGTACATGTTGTCATGCCTAGGAGTCTAGGACTATGTATCCCGTCCTTAGTCATTTATTATCTGGTTAACATGGTATCACGCGCTAAGGTTAGGTCTCACACTTCTGCCCCGCCTATCTACCTACCTGCATCGTGCCCGGCTGACCCTGCTAGCCCCGTCGGCCCCGCTAGCCCCGTCGAGCTCCGCTGACCCTGCTAGCCCCGTCGGCGCGTCCGCGCTTGCGCCTGCCGCCGCCGTGCCTCCTTGCCGCCGACGCAAGCGCCTGCCGCCGCCCGCTCCTACCATCGCCGCACTTGCCGCACCTACTGGGCACCCCGCCGCACCCTAGCGCCCTTCCGTGCCTGCTGAGCCTACCGCGCTCTGCCGTGCCTGTTGCGCGCCCTGGCGCACCCTACCGTGCCTACTCTGTGCCCCGGCGCGTGTGTCGCGTGTGTACTGACTGCCCCTGCCTGTCTTCTCCTCCGCGTGTTACCGTTCCCTCTCATCTACTGAGGTTGTGCCTCAGTCATGCCGTCCGAGGGTGTCCTGCAGCTCGATGCGGAGGGTCGGGCGATTGGTTTTTACGCGTGGTTGCTTGACGCCACGATTTACCTCCAAAACCAGTGCAATGATGATGACACTTTGTATGCCTACACTTTCGGTGAGCTGCCTGCCCCAAGCTTCCTACTCCTCTGGCTGCTGACTTCACGCAGGTGGAGCCTACAGCGCGGCTCGTCTTGCGTACTCGGTGTAGCAGTCGCGTGACGCTACTGCGAGCCTTGCCCTTCGCCGACTCCTGTCGCCGGACGAGCGATTGGAGAAAACATGATTTGTCGACTACGACCAGACATTCACGCCCGTCAACCGACATACCTCCATATCAACGTTGCCAAGGCCTCCTTGTACACCATTCTCGGCGCAATTGTATTCGTCAAGCAACCGCACGCTTTTGAGAAAGACGAATCTATGGTGTGCCTTCTGCGGAGATAACTAAAACAACGGGAGTCAGTCTACGGGCAAGGCATGGATGTGAGGGTGATCTCTGCGTTCGTTCCTTAGTCGTTTACTCGTGCTCTTACTACTCGCGCATTCACGAGGAAATTCGGCAAGATTTTCACTAGCAAAAGTTCACAACAAGGTACGCAGGCTGACTGCCTGCGCAGCACGGTCGACCGCGTTCCAGCGCTGCATAGGCGACCGCACTCCAGCAGTGCAAAGTCGTGTCCTGCCAACGCTGCAAGTCGACGGCGTGCCAACGCTGCAGCAAGGCAGCTGCACAGCGTTGCACCCGCAGGACAGCAGCGCACCCGCTTCGCAGGTGCACGCAGATGATTGGCGTGCTTTGCCTCGTCACCTGCACAGCGCGGACACCAAATCGTCCTCCTACTAACGACTGCACCTGATCAGCAACGTCGACCTCGGGATACCACCCCGAGGTTGGCTTCGCCACAACCACATGGGCGAGTGTCGCGCTCCTCCGCAGAACCCCGTCGCCCGGGTAACCCAGTCGACCCAACAACCCCGGCGACCAACAACTTTTGTGCGTGCTCGGCGACCACCCAGGTCGACGACCACCAGCTCGGCGCCATGAACTCGGCGCCCTCCAGCTCCCCTGTCCAGGTCGACGTCGGCGCCTCCCAAAGTCGGCGCCCACCCTCGTCGACCACCGGGTCACGTCGACCGGCGGCTCCCCGTCGTCGGCAGCGTGGCAGTGGCCTCGTGCCGGTCGACCAGCCCATCGACCTGCGTGCCAAAATCGGCGTCGCCCACCGCAGCGGATCGGCTGCGCTCCCCGCACAACCGACTGCGTAGTCGGCTCCGCCCAAGCGAGGACGGGGCCAACCACAACTCCCGTTGACACTCCCTTGCCGCGTTCACACTTGGACCCTCAGCCTACACGACAACTATGAGAAGAATGAAGAACGAGGATGAATGAACTATGAATGAGGTGAGTACATATAGAAAACCCTAATTGGGTTGTACCCCCTATGGGATACCCCACTATAGCCTACACAACAGCATAAGCTATATAATGCTCTGACACACCCCCATAGGCAAAGTGGGGGAGAACAAGGGGTCACAAGACCAGTCAAGCAAAGCAGAGCAAGCTCAGGGTGGATCACAACGTCACCACACAGTCCGAGCACAACGACAAGGCCACAAGGCCAGTTCACATGCAGGAGTACACATATATATATAGAGCTAGACAAGCAAGAGCAGGTATATATATGTGACAGTACAAGTAAGGTCAAGAGGAGAGCAAGTGAGGCAAGACAGGTACAAGACCCAGCTGAGTGCAGAAGCGCTGATGGTCACAAGGCGCAAGTGCCTTGGTGAACACATCAGCAGTGTTGGCCTGAGAGGCCACGTACGCAAGTCGCAACTGACCACGCTGCTGCAGCTCACGAGCAAGAAAGTAACGGAGAGCAATGTGCTTCGTTCTGTGCTCCAAGCGCTGCTCTCGACACAAGGCCAGCATGGCCTTGTTGTCTACGTACAGCACTGGAGGAGAACGAGGCGGCTCTCCAAGGTCAGTCAGCAGGTAGGTGAGCCAGCGAAGCTCCTGTGCAGCCATGGCCCCGGCGTAGATCTCAGCCTCACAACTGGAGCCGAGAACAGAGGACGAGCGAGTAGCTCGCCACGAGACAGAGCCGGAACCAAGACTGAAGGTGTAACCCTGCGACGACCGCTGCGTAGCCTGGTCGTCAGCCCAAGAAGCGTCCGCGTGCCCAGTGAGGACCACTGGACTCCGCCCTCCAAGCACTAGTCCCATGCCCGACGTACTGCACAAGTATCGCAACACCCTCTTCGCTGCAGCCATGTGCTCTGGTCGGTGTCTCCCAGGAGCAACATAGCGTGCAAGAATGCTAAGAGGGTATGCAAGGTCAGGTCGTGTGCAGGTCATCAGGTACATGAGGCAGCCAACAAGCTCTGGATACGGGCCACTCGACTCTACTGACTCATCCGAAGGCAGAGCTGAGAGTGAGTGGCGAGTAGGCAGAGGAGTGGCCTGAGGCGAGGAGTACGTGAAGCCGAAGCGCTGAAGGACCTGCTGCACCATGTGTGACTGAGTCAGGGTAATGGTGCGGCGTGCTCTGTCCCGGGTGATCTGCAAGCCAAGGTAGCTGCGCAGTTCACCCAGGTCTGTGCACGTGTGTCTCTTCTGCAGCTCGGACTTCACGTGGGCGAGTCCAGCAGTGTCAGCTGTGGCAAAGACCAAGTCGTCGACGTACACGAGGATGTAGAACGGCGGCAGAGAGGTGTCGGTGCGTAGAAACAGCGACGGGTCGGCAGTAGAAGGAGCAAACCCAAGAGCCGCAAGCGTAGTCCTCAGTGTGTCGTGCCACTCACGTGGCGCCTGGCGGAGACCGTAGACTGGACGCCGGAGACTCCACTGGGTACCAGGAGGGAAAGACCCAGTGAAGCCAAGTGGGCGGCGCAGCCAGATCTCCTCGTGCAGGCTGCCCTGCAAGAAAGCAGTGCTGAAGTCGAGAGAGTGCAGCTCGTAGTCACGGTGAGCAGCAACGTGTAGCAGCACCCGAAGAGTGGTCATCTTCGGGGTGGGGGAGAAGGTCTGAAAGTAGTCAACTCCCTATCGCTGACTGAAGCCACGAGCCACGTAACGTGCCTTGAAGACAGGCGGAGAACCCGGCGGCCGCTTCACCCTGAAGATCCACATGCCACTGACGATGTTCGCCCCAAGAGGGGGGACAGCGTCAACGTAGGTGCCTGTGGACTTCCAGGAAGCCATCTCTGCATCCATAGCTGCCTGCCACTGAGAGGAGTAGGGACCCTCTATCGCCTCCGCGTAAGAGCGCGGAGTCGGGATGTCAAGTGCATCCGGGTCTCCCTCAGGGGTAAGCAGTACGGACACGAGATGAGGTGAAGCAGCTGCCAGACACTGGAACTCCTCCTGCCTGTCCTCAAGGACGTCCGTGCCAAGGGCACACTCACCCCCGACTGACGGAGGACAGGCAGACCCAGACTCAGCGACAAGACTAGCAGCGTAGTCTAGGCGACAGCGAGCAGCAAAGTCGACGAGCTCAGTAACTAGGGCAGACGCAGCAGTAGACTCGAAGGAAGGGTCAGTGACGACAGT